GATGATTGAGCCTGTCTGTAGCTGACAGAAAATGACAAGTTACTGAACTAGTCCTTTCTGCCCCCTCCTTGGTTTTGCTGTTTGGGACTTTCAGGCTGCAGTTGTCACTTGAAGACCACAATATGCCATGCACAGGCATGTTAATTATTAACTATTGTTACAAGGAGACTTTTTCAATACAACAACTGAACACAATTTTGTATTTGCTGTCACTAAAATGGGTTCTTTCAGTGCCCAGCCTTCCAAAGTCCAGTGCCTTTGTGAGGAACACTGCCTTCTTTATCGTAATTCCTGTATCAGGCATACTGCACACACATCACCTGCACCTAATGAGGAAAAAACCAACCTGAATTAAAATGCAGAGGGAATCTAGAGTAGTGTCTGTCGAAAAATCATCTGCCCTTTCTCACCAGCAACTAACAACAAACCTCGAAACTTGTCAGTAGGTTTTGTGTCACAGGCCTGGTGCTGGGGGATTACACTGATTTCAGAGGGGCTCCTGTGAGGTTTAACCCCCTAAGAGCGCAGATAAGGAATTCCTGGTGACATATAGTGCTTTACAATGCAGAAGAAACTTGACTCCAAAGAATCCTGTCAGGGCTGCTTGGCCTTGTCTTTCTCATTTCGGCTGCAGGACATCAGTGTGCCGAAAAGCTGGTACCTGTGGAATGCCAGCCTCAAGTGCAGCTTCCTTTTGTAAAGTTAAGGTTTCGGGAACAGTATCGGTATGGCTTTCATAGTGACACTGCATGTGCTCGCCTGGAAATGGAGCCCCTCTGCCTTGTGCTAATGTTGGGTGTTTCAGCTGTGAGTGATTATGTGAACACCCAGCTCCTCGGAGCTGCGGAGGGAAGTTGCCCGTGGCTCTTCTGAGATAAAAAGCAGGAAAGAAACCGCTCCAGAAGCGTATGTGCAGAACCACCACTGTGCGGTGGATTTTAGAGCCGCTTCAGAGGTCTTCCGGTTAGAGAAGTTTAGCTGGGCAACGATCCCAGGTTCCTAACAAAACCTGATGTAAACGGAAACAACACACAAACGCGGGGCTGGGTGCCGGTGCAGCCCGCGACCGTCAGTGGCCGAACAGCTCGGCTCCGGGCCCGCCGTGGGCGCTTCGGGTGGAGCCGGGGGGCAGAGTCGCTGCCTCCTCCCGGCAGACGGAACGGGCTGAGAAAGGCTGTGGGGGGCGAGGCGCCCCGCCGCGGTGACTCAGCGGCGCTGAGTACCGGGCTGCGACCGGTATTTCCTGTTCTCCCGCCCGCCGCCGCCTCTGGGCGAGAGACAGCTTGAGGAGTGAGGAGTGAGTGTGTGAGTGCGTGCGCGTGTGTGTTAGCCAGGGAGCGAGGGTCGGGGGCGCCGGGCGAGTCACCCCTCAGCCGGGGCCAGGCGCAGGTGGAGCCCCACACGCGGAGCGGCGCCTGTCCGTCACCCACTGCTCTCCCCCCGCCGCCTGCCCCACCTGGGGGTGAGGTCGGCACCTGCGGCCGGACCCCGCCCCGGCCCGGCAGTGCAGCGCCGCCCCCGCCCGCAGGAAATCGCCCGACTCGGCGGGAGCGGCCGCACTGGGTCGGGGTTCGGCTCTGTACTCACTAGGAGTCGGCGCCGCTGTGACAGCCCTCAGAGCGGCGAGGACCTTTGAGGGTAGCGTAGGGCGCGCAGTGCCAGCGCCGGGCCGCCTCTCGGGACCTCCCAGTTGGCAGACGCCCCGCCGCCACACCGGGACGATCTCCTCGAGCAGGCGAGTACCCCCGCGAGCTGCCTCCCCCCCCCCCCCCCCCGCCGCTCCCCTGCATCCCTCCCTTCGGGCAGGTGCGGCGTTCCGCTGCCCCCGCTCCACGCTCCAGGGGCCGCGCTGCGGGGAGAGCCGCGCGGGACTTCTCCCGCTCCCTCCTTTGTGTGCTCAGGGCTCGTCTGGCCCCCGCTCGGTTGGTTCCTCGGACGCGCTTTGTCCGCGAGAGCCGGAGCGGCGTCTGCGCTCCCAACGCTTACTCCCCCCGGATTGGCCCCCCCTCCAAACTCCTGGAGCGCCCCTGGAGCCGGCGAACAAGCGGGTTTGGGCCGGGGATAGGCTTTTCCTAACGGGATTAAGCGGCTTTCGGTGACTTTTCCCGTGGTAAGTACTTTCTGGGAGAGCGCGATACTGCGTGGAGAGCGGGAGCGATGTCACCGGGGGATCAGGGGCGGTGTTACCCCGGTTTTGACCCTCGGGAGCGGTGCACACCCGGAGGCGGGGGGGGTCGTGTCTGCCTTTCTCATACACAGAATGGCTGAAGTCTGTGTGTTGGCACATCCCGAGTGGATTCTTGCCGTGCCTTGGGCTTTGGCTAACTGGGTCAGGGGAAGTTTCAAGTTAACAGGGAACCGTAAAACAAAGGAACGGGCAGTTCCAGGGGCCAAATGCTCGATCGCTCCTTAAAGTGCTTTCGCGTCGGCCTTGTTTGCGGTGCTGTAGCCCAGGTACATTAGATTTGAATTGTGGAGCGTTAAGGTTGATCGACCAGTGGTATGTGCTGGCGTTATTAGGCAGCTCTGCCCTTACTTTCCGCCTACTTGAAACCTGTGTCCTCTGCGTATTTTTCCGGTGTGAAAAAGTACATGCTGCCTGACCATACCCGTGCAAGAGTCATACACTCATCTGTCAGATTGGTTATCTGAAAACTTCCATACCTCCAATGTTGCTTTCTAATAATAACTCACTTTAAACAGGTCGAATCTCTGAATAATCTGCTCCCTGGCTTTGATTTATAACCTGGTGTTGAACCCAACAGCTAGGATGGTGTTTGAAAGCTCTCAGCCCCACAGCTGTGCTCCCACAGAGGCCAACAAAGGTCTTCATTGCTTTAACCTTTGGCTGTAGTTGTAAGATGGGATCGTTTGAAACAAATTAAAATGACTCACCTTTTATTTTGCTCAGCAGCCTTTTATTTTAAAGGTTTAGGACTGTGATTCAGCTGTGGTTCAGAGAGAAGAAAACAAACGTGCTATAACTGATAAAATAGCTCCTTTTCTTTCTGAAGCATTAATAATATTAAGGATCTGTCTGTAAACTCTTCCAAGCTCTGACCCTTGTCAGGGTCCATGAGGCCTGCATAGCAAGGATCAGGTACTGGACAGCATGGGAAGTTTGCTTGTGTAAATTGATATTCATTGCTAGATAACCAGGCTGTTTGAAGAGACTTTGAAATGCATTTAGTAAGCATTGTATGCCATTTAGACTTGGTAAGATTTATACTTAGTGTAACCTAGTGCTTATGAGGGCTTTCATCAGGGGAAGCCTTTTGCATGTATTTGACTCTTCAGTGAGTTTACTGTTATAATTGCTTTCCAGGCTGTTATATGCAAACATCTTGTATGCCCTGAATACTGCATTCAGGTAGTGGTAGTGACTCCTCTTCCCTTTGCAAAAGGAAGTCACTCTGGCTTGGAGGAATTGCTTCTGCCTTCAGTTGCATTCTTCATTGCTCTGTATCACAGTGTCAGTAAAGGCTGCTGTTCTCAGAGCCACTACACTATGGTTTTGTGAGACCAAAGATGAGTGCTGAGAATTATGATGGGTTAGGATGATCCCAATACTTTGCATGAACTATAATCTCAACAGAGCTCTTCAGAATGAAGCATCAAAGTAATTAAGTGTCTGATACGTTTTTTTGATTGCTTAATCCCCACTTTCCTGGTTCAGTGCCTTCTAAGGACAACCAGGAGATCTTTTCTAGCAATTAAAATAATGTTTAGGCACTGTCATGGTTCACAAAATGGGATGTCTTGTACCTTTATAAAAGCTGGATGCTTGAACACATCAGAAAGTTCCTAGATCATGAAAACCTGGATGCTTGAAAGCATCAGACAGTTCCTGGATCATAGTAATCCTGAACTGGGGAATGGCCTAATATTTCAGGATTACTTCAAAGCTGCATTTAACTTGGAGCAAATCTTGATGGCAGATAGCATTTGTGTGTGTGTTTTAACAGTTACCAACGTTGTCTGTCTCCAGAACTTCCTTGTAGGGTAAAAGAAATCTCTTGTTACAAGACTGTTCTCTCTTAATTGCTGAAATAACAGTATTTACATTCTCAAGGGCGGTGTAACTTTTGTCATGCCTTGGCTGCATCAGTTTCATCCTGCTGTAGTAATTCTGGAACCTATCTAATTCTAAGGGGAAAGCAAGCATGGTATAACAGCTACAATTTATGGAGGTTAGATGTTTTCAAGTCTGATTTATTTTCAAACAGGTATGAAAATACTCATTGCTGATAAAAAATATATTGAATCTGACAATTGTTACTTGACATCAGCTACATAATGTCTGTGAATCCTAATCCCAAATTGCAGTGAATTTCTGTGATTTTTAGAACTAGATCCCTCAAAAGTGAGATAATCTGTATGTAAAACAAACATTTATGGCAATAAGCAGATAGGGCATAATTATAAGGCCTGTCTTCAGTATGGATCTTGCCATAGTGAAGAATGTTTGCGAATGGTGACTTACTCACCCAAAGAGATTGCAGCCCCAGCATGAGGTTGACTGGTTTTGTGTGGCTGTGCTGTCATATGCACAGCAGTGCATGTTGTCTATCACAGTTAAAGGTTCAGTTTCAGTCCCATGACCAAGGAAGTTATTTGAAAATTCCCAGATGAGTACTGAGGTTTAATTTCTACACAGATTTCTCTCTCAGATTCTACGACAGAATAGAGTTGTTCACGGGCAGAGTGCTTTTCTCAGTTACCTGAACCATCCTCTTCCTCAGAAGGAGCAGCACTGTACTAGATGTGTATTTCTGCTGCGTTGTAAGCTATGCTTATTTCTTGTCCCAGAGCCTTTGGAGCCTACTGTTGCTCTTTATTGTCCTTTTATCAGTACCAGGGTTATCCTGGTCCTGCCCCAGAATTTTTATTTTCTGAATAGGTAAATTGTGATTTAGAACTTAATAATATTATCTCTCTGTGTGTGTGTGTGTGTGTATTGCCAAACAAAGCCTATATTTAACAGTAGAGGGCTGAGGTGGTTTTGTTTTTTTACTTAAATATTGTATAATCAACACAGGTATTGACTGCAGTATAGGAATTGAGCAACTTCATGCAGAAGTAAAGACCACATAGTTTCACAATTTAGACTATTAATGTTTGTGTCGTTTTTTAGTTGCTTTGTTGGTGGTGGTTTTTATTTTCTTTTGATTCAAATAATTGTTTTCTGCAAGTGCCTGTTGCTAGGGAGTGTTGTAGATTTCTGTTCTAAATGAGAACACAGACTGTGGCAACTCCTTTTTGTCCAGTGTTATGTGACCCTTTCAGATGTGAATGTATTTAGAATGTTTATTATCCAAGCCTGGTAACAACCCAGTGAGCTGTGAGAGGTTTGGTCTGATATCTTATATGGCATCTGCACTGGTGTATATTCATCAGCTGCAGGTTTTGTTTTTAGGAAACGTGAGCTACCTAAATCTTCCTGAATTGAGGTCAGCGTTGTCATTGTGCATCTGAGTGTTGGATCCACATGTAACCATGGCTTCTGATCTAGGAAGAAAATGAAACTCAATTAGTGCTGTGTTTTCACGTGTAACGGGAAAATGATTTACAAAAATACTGTGTGATACGGTAGTAAGGCCAGTAAGTGTGCAAGCTAAAAAAAATATAAATCCCCTTTTATTCTGGTTTTCCCCAATGCCTGCTCCATTTGTATGCTATTGTCTTTGCTTCTGTCTTGCACCAGCTTCCTCAAAAAGCAAAACTGCTTTTGAGAAATTTCTTTTTATTTCTCAGTGCATATTATGGTATGGAGATTATCTCAGGTGTGGTCTATATGCATGTGAAATGTCAGATTTAGGATGTCTTGTTAGGTGTGGCTATGTTTTCATTAAGCTAGGTATGAGTTCAGTTATTTTGGGCCATTTTGGATTTTTCCTCAGAATGGCTTAGTAATATCTCTCCCCAAAGTGTTTTGTTGTCATTACTGTCAAATAAAACTAATTATTTAACATCAGCCTGCATTGTATTGGTAAACTGAGCCTGAACTCAATACTGGCTCAGCTTCATCTAAACCAAGGTTTTGCATATTTCTTAGAGCTATTTATTACTTGCTTTGCTGCCTTGTTGTTTGGTTTTTTTTTTCTTGTTTTCCCCCCCCTGGTTCTCTCATTTTCTTTTCCCTCCCCCTTAAGAGACATTAGAGAAAACCCCTAAATCTATCTCTCCTGTGCATCACTGTTAATAGCAAGGCTGTCAGTAGTCTGGCTTGCTCTCTCTTTTCTAACATCTGCTTCATCATCTAGCTCTGCTTAATAGCCAGCAGATTTGACTGCTGGTGTCTCTAGCCTCCTTAAAACAACTTTGTGTAAGCTGATTCTGAGAATCTCCAGGAGCATATGGACTGTTCAGGCAGTGGGCAATCTCTTAAGGAGGGGCTAAAAGCAACTGCAACCTGTGATGCTGTGTGAAAGATGTTTCCAGGTCCTTCTCTTTCCATGAAATCACTCCCATTCCATGCCCCCAGCCTCATCCTTGATGCTCTTTTGTCTCAAGGTTGTTTCAATGGATCAAGCTTGACATATGTATTGACTGATTTTTAATTTTCATTGTTTTTTAGCTATATGGCCCAGATGAGGCACATATGTTCTGGAAGTTAACAACTGTCTGTCATAGTTATTCTTGCAACCTGAGAAAAACCATGTAGGAGAACTTTTTTCCTTTGCTTTCTTCATAAAAAAGTCCTTTGGTCTGTACATTTTACATCTTTTTTTTTTTTTTTTTTTTTTTTGAGAAATGAGAAAGAGCAGGATTTTGTCACCTTCCAAAGATGGAAAGTAATTTGTGGTTATGTTGGGCAATGGTTGTCTCCTCTGTGGGTGAGTCCAAAGTGACTAAAGATGTGATCATGCTTCTGTCATCAGTTTACATGAAGTATGTTCTACATCTCATTAAGGGAATATGACTGTTTTCATCTGTCAAGGATTAGAGCAAAAGGCAGCTTTTGCTTTGATCTCGTAAATGTTTCTTTAATTCAGAAAAGAGTTTCTGTCATTCTTTCCCCATTCCTGGAAATATGTATTGCTTTCCAAACCATCCACTGTAATTGAATTTACAATTTTTACAGGGTGACTGAAAATAAGGAAACTTCAGAATTGCTTTGCAAAAGTCATCTGTAGAATTTCAGCTGGTTTGAAATCATTGTACCAAGAGTGAAACATTTGTGGGGTTTTTCTTGCTGTTTCAGCTATGGAAGCACAGAAAAGAGTAGGGAGTTTTGGAACAGAGAAAGACAAGCTGGCAGTTTTCATGGAGTCCTGTTTCCCTACAGCCAGTGTAGCTTGGTAAGGCCATGACAAGTGCTTGAAGCCTCATGGCATGTTGCCACAATGCGCTGTACCTGTTTCGTAGAAATGCATGTAACTGTTTTTTCTGTGTTTGGTAAACTGATTAGTAATTAATGTGAGAGATTCATGGGGAAAAAGGTTAGTGGAGGATACCAATATAGTGAATAAGCCAAGAATCTTCTTAGCTGAACTATGGGGTGGTTTCTTACTGTTGTCTTTTGAAATTTGGCTGAAGAACGTGAATTCCTGAGGTTGACACAAATATTTTCTTACACCTTAACTCTCAGATGTTTGTTCACTTCTGTGTTCCCAGATAGGAAAATTACACTGTGTTCTTTCCAATAAAACTTGGTGTCCATTCTTCCTGAAAAAATACAAAGCCAGAAGGGGAGTAGATGGTAACTCCCCAACAGGAAGCAATGGAAGACTGCGTGTTTTAGACTTTGTTAGTTCTGCAAAAGCCACCCTTATCTAACAAGGGATGTACTAGCACCTTTGAGTTTCTGTTTTCAAATAAAGCAAAAGGAAGTTCAGTTGAACAGCCACCACGTACGAAGGATGTGGAGCTGTTGAAGCAAGTCCTGAAGAGGACCGTGAAGATGATCAGGAGGCTGGAGCACTTGTCCTATGAAGACAGGCTGAGAGAATTGGGTTTGTTCAGCCTGGAGAAGAGAAGGCTCCAGGGAGACCTTAGAGCAGCTTCCAGTACCTAAAGAGGCCTACAGGAAATCTGGAGAGGGACTTTTTACAAGGGCTTGTAGTGACAGGATAAGGGGGAATGGTTTTAAACTGAAAGAGGGGAGGACTTGGATTAGATATTGGGGAAAAAAAAATATTCAGTAAGACAGGTGAGACACTGGCACAGGTTGCCCAGAGAAGTGCTGGGTAGTCTTTAAGGTCCTTTCCAACCCTAACCTCTATGAATGCTGGTGCAAGGTCTGCTGTGTTAGAGCATGTGTCCTGTTTTACTGTGAATTTAAAGTATGCAAACCTCGATTGCGGACAATACAGTTACAATCTGATTTTTGTAAGATGAAGATGTGCAGGGTAATCGCGTAACTGAAAACACGTACTCCATTTTAGGTTATTTCATTGATTAGATATTAAGAGGAAATTCTTCACTATGAGGGTGATGAAACACTAGCACAGGTTGCCCAGAGAAGTTGTGGCTTCTGCATCTCTGGAAGTGTTCAAGGCCAAGTTCGATAGGGCCTTGAGCAATCTGGTGTAGTGGCAGGGCAGGTTGGAATTTGATGATCTTTAAGGTCTCTTCCAGCCCAAACCATTCTATGATTCTGTGAAGCTGATAAACTGTGAGTCAGTCTTAGCCCCTCTAGATACCAGGAGATTCCATGAACAATTTAATCAAAAGCAGTGCTTGGATGTAATGGGTGCTTATTGTGTGAGCTTGGCTTTTCTGTGTACAAGAGCAGTTGTGGGGCACCTATTTTAGTAAGAATTTATACACTTTGCGCAGAGAGACAAAAGATGGACCAGAGCTGCGCTGAATGCTTTTTAGACTTTGCATAGGTTTTGAAAAATACTTTAGGAAAGTTTTTGCAAGAACTGTTAATTAGATCTGTAAGAGGAAAATTTAGTGTTAAACATTGTTACATGGGAGAGGAGGGATGGAAAGAAAGAAGTACCAAAACTTCATAGGAGAAATTATGGCAGTACTGATCTTGATAACAAAACTGACTCTGAGGAAAGACTGAATCTCATATAGATAAAAAAAAAATCTGTGTTTCAAGTAAAACTGCATTTTCAGACTGTATATTCCTTACATACCAGCATGCAGCTATGTAGGTGAAAATTAAGTTTTTTCCCCTCTGACAGTTGTTTCTATTGGTATCCTGTGAATCTAAAAGATACTTGATTTTATTTTGCTCTTCCAAGATCAGTCTCACAAATTATTATTTGGTAATAACTTGAAATAGTTCCATGTGTGCATATGTTAACCTACAAATGTGAATGAATATTGAACACCAAATACAGGTAACACAGGATTGTAAGTAATACAGGACCTGCAGTGGTATACAGATATTGCAGAAGCTGAATATTCTACCAAATAAGTAATGAAAACTAGTGGGTTTCATCTTACCCATTTCTAAAGTAGCATAGAATGTTAAGTCACCCTAACAGAAATAGAGATACGCCTGACAAAATACTAGGGAATAATTAAAATGCACGGTTCACAGAGGGAGTTGTGGCTGAAGTCTTCAGTCTTTCTATCCTATCTGTTCTTTTTACATTTTTATGTATAGTACTGCTTAAGTATGTAGTATTTATGTAATATATATATAAATCATTCATATCTTACTATCTCAGATCTAAGTAGCATTACAACACAATTTCCTTAGTCTTTTTGCAGTCAAGTACGTCTCTCTTAATACTGCAGTTTCACAGTACTGCAGGATTTCCCAAATGTCACTGTTACTTCAGCATGTACATCTGTCTCCTCCTTCGTAGTTATTGCCTGAGGTCTTTGGCATGTACAATTACTTACCTCATGGCTAGAACGATTTTGACCTGGGAAGTGTTTTTGGCATTGTGTGAGGCATATTTGAATGACAAGTAGGCATCATAATGGAAGTCTCTGTCTTTCATAATGCTGTGCAAGCCACATAAAGAAATTTGTCCATGCCTTTTCTGAACAGATCAGATAAATCTCTTGTAACACTTCCAGTGTACAGAGCTTCGTGGTGCTGAGGAGAAAAGTTGAAACAACCTGTTGTTGTCCATCACAGTGTCTAAAACAGTCTCAAGTTTTCTGTGCACATCTCTCTTATTCTCTGGTCAGATTTTACAGAGGAGTTACCTAGTGCTCCATTAGCAGTTGAAAGATTATAGACAGTGGAGATTTAGCAAAGGATTAGTCAATTGGAGAGTGTGCATTATCCGGCCAGGCTTAGAACCCTGATTGTCTCCTCAATCATTTTCATTAGTGTCTTATTCAAAGATTCAGTTACGTAACAGTGACGTTTCTGGGGAATCTGGTAGGAGTTTTTCTTTGGTTTCTCTCTCCTAATAAGTCTCTAAGCCTGGGAGAGGAAAAAGCTTTGCTTTTCTGCTTCAGACTCGCAGCGTGTTTTAAAAAGCACCATTGATAAGTGCTTCAGATAAGTGAAGAGGCATGACTTCAGTTGCAGTGTCTACATTTGGATGATAATTTGGCGTGGTGGAACTCTTGAGAGAGGCAGGATGCGGTACAAGAAATACATAACTATTTTAGAAGCAGCAATAGGTATTACTCCCCTTAACAAGAGGGAACTGCTTCCTGAGGGTAGACATGCAAATCTGTGGCAACATCCAGGGTAAGTGCTAAAAAAACAATCGGTATGTAGCTATGGGAAAACCTGTCCTCACCTCAAATCATGCAATTTTAAAACTTGTTAGCAGAAGAGAGTTGAGTCATTTGTAAAACATTTAACCTTTTTTTTGTACCTTCCAAATGGTGTATCTTCTTCAGTTGTGGTTGATCTTGGTGGTTTCTTTGGAGATTTATGTGTACTTCTCGTCCTTGACCAGTAGAATAAGTAGGAGAACGTGTTGTTTCCAAATCAGAAGTTTGCTAAAGAACAGAAAGGATAAGTAGGTGTATACTCAGAATGAAAATTAAATGGGTGTTTTGTGTTTGTTGTTCACTACTAACTTGATGTACGTACATCTGTGTTCCCCCTCACCATCATTTAAGAAATACGTAATTGAGTCTGTGACAAAGCTAGCACCTTCTTAAAGTGGAAGACCACTTTTCTCTGTGTACGCAACTGTTGTTCTTTGCCAGGAAGCAGGAGTTCATCATATTTAGGAATACTGTTTCCCTAAAGTAAAGCTTCAGTTATTATGAGAGAAGTAAATTAATGCTATTGCTGTTCAAAATGTGAAATACCAAGCATTCTGGTTTTGTTAAAAAAAATTGAGAGTGCTTTCTTGTACCAAACAGCTTGAGTATTAGGCTTTGGACAGTTCTTTCTGTTCACAAAGGTTTCTCTCAAAAACTTACACATGTGAAAGGGGATTGTCGCTCTTTCCCACCTGCTCCTGTATAAGTAGCATCAATAGATGATGCTACTTCTCCGCAGCCCTTCTAGTCTCTTTGTTGTACATTAGAATGGTTTTCAGATGTTGCAGAGGAGTGCAAAATGTCAGAGGGTTTTGTTCAAGCGCAATTAATGTTTCTGCTGGTTTGGAATAGTTTTATGTTTAGTAAGACTTCAAAGAAGTAACATTGACTGTTTGGCTGTAACTGAACTCAGATTTGTCCTGTAATTTTTCCACAAGAGCACTTCCTCTTAGCAGTGGCAGCAACAGTAGAAGCAATTAAAATGCAGTTCACTATATGATTTTTTTTGCTAGTTTTATCACCAAAACAACAAAAACTAGTTTAGAAAATACGCTGATGCCAAGAGTTTCCAGCCTGTTATGAATACAAGTATTTTTTAAGTTGATCCTAAGTTTCTGATACTGTGTTAATGAGTACTTGTAGGGCTTTTTGTTAAAAATCTGTCCATTAAAAGGGGTTCTTAGTATAATGTATTTGGACACAGGACATTGGAGTGTCCTAGACTGTGACTTCCTTTAATTGTTTCATGTAACTTATCTACATGCCGATCTGTTTGAATTTTGCAGCCACTCTTTGCATGTTGATTAAATGGTACATGACTGCCCTTGATGCTTTGAGAAGCTGGCTTGGAAAGTAATAGTACATTCCTGCAAAATTCCTCTTTGTTTTCAAGTAGGTTTGTTTGGCCACAGTTGCAGCTTGAAACAAGCTGTCTAAAAATGAAACTTATTAACTGTAGTATTCATTATTCTTTTGTTTTGTGACTGGGACTGCTTGGCTTCCATCTACTACTGAGTGTAAGTCAGTATCAAAAGTGCAAAAGACACTACCCTGTTAATATTTGGATTTATTTCCAGCATGCTTAATCGGGCATCTCCCTCCTTTCAGGAAGGGAGGGGTTTAGTTAGTGTGATTGCTGTGCACACTTGGAATTCCAAACTGGTCAAGATGTATGTGGATTATGTTTGGATTTGCCATTCCAGCCATTTCAGAAAAGCAGAAAAGCTGTTGTCATTGGACTGTAATAGGGATCCCTTTTATGTTTTCATTAAAACTTTCAGGGAACTAGAGGTTGGTAACCAACAGTTGTGGTAAACTGTGGGTTGAAGAAATAGTGCTGTTTTTCTTTTTTTTGTAGCTGCAGAATGCTTACTCTGTATAACTGGAACAAGCAAATTAATAACTCACTTGCTAAACATCAGCTTATTGCTTGACTTCTGGAGGTACCCTGTCACGCTGCTATAAAAAAAAAGTGTTTTAAAAGTGTGTATGTGTTGGAAAAAAACCCAAAACATGAGGCAGTTGCCAAAGCCTAATACTGAATGTAGGATATAGAAGTCCTCATCTGTCATTATCCCACTGCATAAATCCAGGTGCATGCTTAACCCATGTGCTTCCTTTATTTCTCTTAGTCATCTCTTAAAATTAAAAAAAAAAATAAAAAAAAATAGTGTGATGCTAGCTTCAGTGCCATCTCTTGAAAGTTGTGAAAATTCTGATTAAAAACCCAGACTAAGGTGCTAAAGAAAGCCAGAAAGGCAAATACTTTGTTTTGCTAAGGCATTCCTTTCCATTTCCATATAAAAGGCATTACAAAGTGTGTGTGTGGGGGGTTTCTACTTCCATTTTCCTTGGAATAGTGATGAGATTTCTGTGACAAATCAATTTTCTTAACTTTGGGCATCTACATGCAGGGGCAAAATGATGGCAGAATAGTTTGGATTTGGCTTGCTTGTGTAACTTTCTTGCAGCTTCCAGAATAGTGTTCCATGCACAGCCTGAACAATAAAGCTGATGTTTGTTCATAATATACAGTATAGCTCTTGCTGCTCTTTATTGTTCACAGAAACTCGTATTAAGCATTCTTTTGTGGTGTGACTTCTGAAATCATGCCTTGATTTAAAACAGCAGTTGATTACTTTCAGAAAGATGCTTTTATGCTGGCAGAAGCAGCAGACAGGGGAAAAGACCTCCTAGCTTCACCAGTGTGATGTCTGGCAGGTGCTTACATTTGTTAAGTTTTTAAGAAGTTAATCTGCAATGAAATACAATTTTAAAAATATCTTAGAAGTTTTAAGTTTGCTTTTTTAATCTTGGACCTCATTATGATTTTGCTCAGGAAAAAGGGGGTGCCGCACACAAGATGCATCAATAAAATGTGGGGTAGACTTGCAGATAATTGGTGAAGTTCTGCAGAATTCTTTCAGTTTCTCTTATGGCTCTCCTGCTATCTATAAATGGGTAATGGAGTATTAACAAGACTAAAAGAAGCAAGCAAACACCACCACCACCCCAAAAGAAAAAAACAAACAAAAAACAAACAAAAAAAAACCCAACCCCCCCCCCAAAAAAAAAACAAACCCAAACCAACCAACCAAAACCCCCCCCCCAAAAAAAAAACCAAACCAAAACAAAAAAACAGTCAAAACACCCCAAAACCAAAGCCAAGCATATACATTGGAGATTAAAAAAATGTTAAAACAAGCCTGTTACAAGTACAGCTAAGATATTCTTCCAGGAAAGTCTGGCTATATGCTTTTGAAGATGGAAGACTTTGGAAAGGTGTTCTTTGAGAGGAATTCATATGATAAAGATGCGTGTTTGTTTTATTTTAAAAACAAAGCCCAAGGAGCAAACCCTAACCATCGGCTTCTGTTTCTATTTCTGTCAAAAGTTCTTTCATCTTAGTTAAACCATCCATTTTCTGTTTTCCTACATGGGATAATCAAGGGCTGGGACAAGGGATGGGATGGAGGAGGAGCCCTGTGACATGGATGCTGAATGGAGCTAACTTACTGCTTGTACAGAAGAGGGGTAGCTGAGGCCCCTGAGCAAGGGAAGGAATTGAAAATTACATTGGGAATTGCTTCTTTTCTGTCATTTTGCAACTGTTAAGTTGCCAGTTGAAGTAACAGAGTGCATGTATCTGATTGTATCTTGAGCATAACCTCAGTAAGAATAATGTTCTTACTAGTTTAACTTTGTACAATTCAATGCAAACTAAGCCATCGCACTAAGACTAAAAATGCATTGCTGCTTGGTGTGCAGGCTTGTGTGAATGCCTCATGAGGATAGTGATTGAATGGAAGTTTGCAGCATTGCTGCAAGTGTAGATATTTCTGAGTATCATCTCCTCTCTTTAAGCACTGTTTCCACTTGATTCCCAGGGAAAATAAAGCATGCTAAACTAATCAGGGACATGTATTTTATATCTTCTTTGTATCTAGGACTTCAGTGTCCCAGGCTTCACAGTCATTCTTTTATGATTATATATTACTGAAATGAAACTTTGTTTTTCAGGGAGCAAACTACTGCACTGCCATCTCCTTGTGAGTGGGACTGGGAGCAGAGCTGTACATCAAGCCCAAAGCATCTCACAGAGAGTAGACAGAGACATTCAAAAATCGTCATTCCTCAGAAGGTACTAGTCAAGTTGCATTAGTTAGAACTGGCCATTAGTTTAAAACAACAGATTCTCATCATGTGCTAGCCAGAATGTTAATTCTTTTAGCTATGTTTTTAAAAGTTTTTAAGAAACTGTGATTAATAGAGTAATATACTGAAATTGGAGCTAATTCTTTCGGACTCCCAGACTAATTAGAATGAGCACATGCACATTTGCTGAAAGCTTTGTGATGTAGAACAGGCCACCAGAGGAGGAGAGACTCCTGCAATGAACTCGGTATTCTGCTAGTTATGCAAATAATAATGCACAGGACTGTACTAGTTCATTTCTTAGTTAAGCACTGGTAAAGAATGGATTTAATCTATGGTGATGTCCACAGCAAATATAAATATTTAGCATGGATTTGGGGATAAATAAATTCAAGCACAGAGGGTAGTATTAATGGGAATTGCTTAGTGACTCAATGGAGTCCTGGGAGACAGAATAGCCACACACAGGGAGAGTTGTTTTGCTGCATATTTTCTTACAGTGTATAGTTAAGGTAAATATAATCCTCTTGGCATCTTAACTTTGTTCTAGAAACCTCCTCAAGTGCTCCCAGAGAGAATATTAAATGCATCCTTAGTTTTATGTGTTGGTGAAACATGCTTGGCTTGTTTTTGTAAGTCATTAACAGATGACAATTTTAAGAGAGCTAAAGGTTTTTATGGTGGTGTGTCACAGAGCTGTAATTGACTTCTGTTATTGAGAGATTAACAGCTATTGCTGCTTTAGTAATTTACTTTGAAATGTGGAAATCATTTGTACTGTCTAATTTGTGATACACTTAATCAGATCTACTTATCTGTTAGTTCAGTGTTCTGGGATTGAGGAGAGAGGATGCTAGATTTATTAATTTTAGATTAATCCAAATATTAATTTGAGATTAATCCAAATCTAATGACATGATAAAAAGGAGGAAAAAAAAGTCATTCTATCAAATAACAAACAAACAGGCCCTGTTCACTTAGGGCACTGTGTATGGGAAAATGCGATACAAGAATATTAGTGAAGCATAGCCTGGCAGCAGTGTCCCAGTTGAAGTCTCCAGCAAGCTCCCCTCAAAATGAGAAA